CCGTTTGGGATTGCACTACTACCTTTTGGGAAGTTGTTTTTTAACTAATAAATTACATCTTTTTTAAAATAATTTTTGAAATTTTTTCTTTCATTTGCAGACAAACAGAATTACTGTGGATTTGTCAAGCTAAGATAGCCTTGGATATTCTACAACGAACAAAGGCATGGATTCGCAATAATTATTAGCTGCTAGGGCGCAATTAATTGTAGCTAATTTCATTTGTTGTTAAATGATAGATTTACTTATAAATAGATTTATAATAGTAGTTAGAATAGCAATTGTACACTGCAGAATTAAGTTGGTTTTAAGTTTTAATGTTTTGTATTAGAGAATAAAGTAGGTGCAAGTTATACGGCTATCTTTTTAAATCCCACGCACAACATAATATTAACTGGGTTGTTAGACAAATAAATTACTTTGACAAAAATTAACTGAAAGTGATATTGTTATATCATTAGTTTGTTCTAACCGTCCTTCAAACTAGTTTCTGACTGCAAGGCGAATGGTAGAATTAAACTGTTTCTACCCACGACAAGTTCAAACTCAGAACTCAGAAGTTTACTGTTCCAACGAAACACAGAGTACACAGAGTAATTCATGAACTAGTTTGTGATGGCCAGAGCAGTTGTCGGAGGTCTAGTCGAGGTATCGAATAAGGCTGCATTCCTGCAATTTTTTTTTTTTGAAGTTCAAATTTTCTAAATGAGAGTATAAGTATTTTATGTTAATTCTAACTTTTTCATTCTAATTGTTACCCAATTAGAGTTTGTGGTCCGATTGACCAATTAACATCTTTCAATATGTAAGGTATCGGTTGAGATTGAAAAGAACGGAAAAAGGAGAGAAAATTCGAAAGGTGGTTTGAGGTGGGAAGTTGGTGTCCGAGTGGATCGAAGTCACGATAGCTCAAGTGGTAGAGCAGAGCAGCGGCGTATTTAGCCTCAGGTGACAAAAATCCCGAATTACGTTTTATTAGTTCTTATTGTTGTGTCTTCCTACAATTGCTCTACGGAAGGATAAATGAATGAAGTTCTCCTTCAAGGGAAAAATGAAATGTGCGAACCGTTTTGGTGTGCCCTGCATAGACGCTCCATCTCACGTTATCAGTTCCAGTCCTGTTATTTGCAGTTCTGTGGACAGTCACGATAGCTCAAGTGGTAGAGCAGAGCAGCGGCGTATTTAGCCTAAGGTCGTGGGTTCGAATCCCGCTCGTGTCATTGACTTTTTTATCTCAACCAATACCTTACATAATGATTATTTAATTTTTACCCTTGAAACAAATTCAAAGACAATGTACATTGGAATAGGTGAAATTGAGGCCCCAGAATTCACATAGAGATATTATTGAATTTTTTTTCTTCTTCAATATACAAAAAAGTGGCTTAAATTACTTTTCCCCCAAAAAATTTTTTATTAACATAACTGACTTTTTTATTCAAAAATTAAGGGAAGCAAAAATAAACAAAAATCTGTATATTTAGTGAAGGTTAAGTAATAATTATTTAGAGAATTTACTATCATTGTATAAATTCATTGTCATAACTTATATGTACGACGTTGTATGAATCTGCAGTTTTGATGGCAAATATAATTTCTATCGGTATAACAATCAAACAAATTGGTGAATTGTTTTTGATATCTAGAGGATACTGTACAAACCATGAAGAAGAAAAAATAAAAGAAATAAATGGGACGTATCTGATTTGTTCAATTGGTAGCAAAATAAATGACAACATTGGATGCGCATATGCGATATTTAGAAATTACGTAAAAATTGTAGAGGCTAAATACAAACTGCATAAAAATTGCTCTAACAATCAGGCATAACAGTTGGCGTCTTGAAAGGGCAAAAGAGCAGAAAGTTAAATTTTGTCATCATCGCTAATAGCCAGATCATAACCAATCATGGAGCAAAATAATAGAGCTGAACTGGTAGAACAAACCAGATCCAAATTAAGTAGCATTTCAAGGAACTGGATGATGGCGAATGTTGGATTTTTTTGGAAATCAGGAGGCAGATCGCCTAGCCATTAAGAACAACACGTTATGGAATTCTCCCCTACCGTTCAGTAATAAGTCCTGTTCCTTACAGCATGTGTGACGGCGTCACCTACCAGGTCATGACCCACACATTGTACGCTTGTCCATTTATGGAACTACGTAGGAAGAAATAGATTGAAGAAGTCATCCAGACAAAGCATGGTCCGTCCAGATTTACTTAACAAGGATATCACAGGATACAGAAGGTTATGATTGCGGATAATAGTAATCGAGTTCCGATTTATGTCTCAAGGCTAAACGACTTTGCGGAATTCACGGAATTATATAATCGTCGGACTACAGAAAATAGTTATCTAAAAAAAAGCACAAGCGGCACATAGGATAGCTGATTTGGCGCCAGTTTTTACAGTAATTCAAGAAACTTAGGCTTCTGTCACAAGTAAGCCCAAACGAGTAACTTTGTTTATTTTGTGTCGTGTTGTCAAACAGTCGAAATTGTGTTTGTGTCCAAAAAAACATAAACGTAACTTTTTAGAAATGTGTGGTGATTCATGATTTCTAAATAAATATTTTTAGAAATGGTTTAAATCAATAGAAATAAACACAGCATCAATTACAGAACAGAAACATGTAAACTCAGTCGCAGCTACGCCAATATCATTAATCAAATTCAATATAGATAACAAACATGTATCATCAAATCACACAAAACGTATAATATAACATATAAAACATTCATCACATTCCACACATCTAACATTTTTACATAGTCTAATTTTCCAACAATTTAGCTTACTTATCATATCCCCGTCTATATAATCCTGAAAGGATAATCTGGCCGAACCATTACCAACGTTGTTTTCCTATCGTCGGCTCTTTTCACCTCAAAGAAGTCGCCTCATTAAACAGAAATATCTTTCTATACCGACTTCCTTCCCCACCCCTTCAAAATCCAATGTATATATAAAAAAAGAGCAATATCTCACTGGCACTCTCAACACAACACGCCAGAATGGAAATTAAGCAGAAAACAAACACTTTGGGTGAGTAGAAATACACTGATTGAATATAATTTTTTTTGCATTGTATAAATCCACTTTTTTCCACATCCTACATGTATTTTTAAATTTAAACAATGTTTGTAAATCCCAGGCCCTGAAGATGACCTCAATAAAGATCGAAACGCTGGCACGATAAGGAAAATGTTTTTCTGAAACCTACATCACTCCAGACCGCATCTCACGATTACCGAATAATCAATTTGGAAAAATATTGTAAAGACATTAATCGAAATAACGATATAAACTTGGAAGCCGCGCCTATCAAGAACTAGATAGCAAAAATAATGTTCAAAAATTCCAGGGTGTACTGGGTCAAGGGAAAAACAGATAGCACACAAAGTACGGATTGCTACCAAAACCAATGAACACGAATCTCTATCTCAATTAAATATAACACCGCCCCCTTCTTACAAAAATAAACACGACTAAAGGATTATTACACAAGAATCATATCCGTAGGTCATGCATTGTTTCACCAAAAATATAATCAAACTTATAAACAAATCTTGATCCATATTTGTCTAAACATCTGCCGTTTATCGGCCGTGAGGGCAAAGGAAAAGAGGCAAATTCATAAATAGAGCAAAAATGTCCGGGTTTTTTTTGGAGGGGGGGCGGTACCGGCGTTTTTGAAAAAAGCCCATTTATAAATTTGTCGGGTTCGAATGCAGGGCCCCTCGATTCGAACCCGGGACCTTTACCTTTCAGCGATGAGGGCCATGTCAACGCCTAAACCGTGGCAGCCACTGGCGCCTCCTAATGTCCGTTTGTAATTTCGGACCAACCAAAAGTACGCCATTCATCGATTTAGACGTATTCGATTTTGCGCTTTCGTCGAAAACAAGTCTCACAGGGTAGGCTGACGGTGGCTTGAAGATTGCGTGTAGGGAATAAAATATCTCTGTAGTTCGGAACCGTCCACAGCAGAAATCTCTGACATATTACCATGCTCAATATATTCGGCCAACTACCGATGATAGGCATACGGCATCACTTCTAACCGGGTTAACCGTCCTTTTTACTTAAAAAAAAACATGTGTCGGGAATTTTGATACGAACCTTCCAGCGACTGAGATTCTCGGAACGGTGTGAACAAACATAACACTACAAGAATATGTTGATTTTATGTGAATTTAATGTTTTGTGTTTTTTCAAACAACACATGTTTGTAATTTAGGCCTGAATATGACCCGAATAAAGGTCGAAACGTAAAATAAAATTAAAAAGATGTTTTTCGGAAATACATATAACCGGACCGCACACTACTTCAACCATTTACCGACTAATCTTCGACAATCCACGGTGACAAAGCAAAAGACAAGATCGTCCGAATAAGCGTAACGAAAACTTTAGCATTTAATCACAATTTAAACTTTAATCCAGTGAAAAAAACAATGAATTTAACCGTTCGAAACCGCCAGACTAAGGCGTCCGACCCTCAAGCAAAGGGTTCAAAGATGGCTTAAACACTCATAAATGTATATATTATCATTTTCAAAATTTTAACTGTTAACTAACGACGCAGAAAACACGAAGATCACCAACGAGAAAAAATTACAGCTATATTCGCTCGTTCGAAGCCAAGAAACGTCCTCCGAAAAAGAAGAGCTTAAGCCTATCACAAACCAATTCATGAATTAATCGTCTCCCCAAGGAGCTGCTGCAAGCTCCAAAACAGCAGACCTTCTCAGGTAGGTGGAATCAGTTTCATTGAACCACGTATTCGCTTGAAAGTCACGAAGTATAGTTGGAAGGATGGTTGGAACAAACTTGTGATATAACAAAATCTCTTTTAGCCACTCTTCCTCAAATCAATTTATTTGTCAGAAAAAGTAAATATGGTGTTGTGCCTGGGATTGAAAAAGATACCAGTAAAACTTACATCTATTGTATTTTATTCTTTATTACAAAATAATTAACACTTTAATCTAACTTACTTCTACAGAGTATAATTGCAAATCTAAGTACAAATATAAATCAATTTATTTACAAGTACATCTACTACCATTTATACATTGGCGTGTCGTCGATGGTCTTGAGTCTAAAAATTAAAATAGATATGAAATTTTTGAACGGTTTGATTGGATGTAAATTGACAGTCCGTATTTACGTACCTTAAGACATAAAAGGCTTGAACTTGGTAAAGTTGGAGAGTGTCACAACTGTTTGCCATATTACCGATGAATGTTCTTCAAGGCCGGAAGGAATGCATCTGACAGCTTCGTACGTTTTCAACCGCCTTTCCAAATCAGTTTTTGTCGCCAACAGCCTGAAGTTACCCATTCCAATTTGCTTAGCAACAACTGTTTGGGGAATGGCTAAAGTTGAGCGTATGTCGCTGTCGACAATGATAAATTCCCCCGGCATTAAAACATCAAGGACACCACTTCGATGAATAACGTCCCTTTTGTGGCCAGTCCATGTGTACAATGAACTGGCATAAATCACCACTCCGTCCGGTTTTGTAAGAAGGACAGCGGTGTAAGGCTCCAGCGGTGTTTTGTGCGGGATGAGCGGGTTGTGCGGCACTTCCTGATGCACAGTGATTGTGTGGAGGATTAGGGGCTTTGACGATTCCGCCGGAGTCCTGATTTGTCTCAGTAGTCCAACAGCAACGTTGAAGAGTTTACCGTGAATTGTATAAATCCACGTTTCCACTGTGTTGATCACCGTCTCCAGAGAACACATAAATCTGGTCAACAAAAATTAGTTTAAAATATAGAACAAACCGAACGTTTTTTGCACAATTTAATAAATTCGAACCTGTGAGACAGGTCAACATCTGACATGCCAAATTTTAATTTCATTAACGTTAGCAGCAACTGCTGCTTTATTGTCAGTTGTCCGACCACCCATCCGTGCCGATACGTTATTTCATTCTGAAAAATAAAATTAACATTAAATACAAATAAAACCCAAATTTGGCAAAACACAATTCCATACCTTAGGAAACATATTTGCTAGTTTGAAAAATCCCTTGACCAACGGTATCCCCGTATAAATTTCAACGAGCTTGTCATTATGTTTTATCGAATGAATAGAGAAGGGTATCCTTAGAATATTATCTCTATTCGATTCGAACAGCGCTGGGTGTTTCCATAAAGCATGGAGCTCGCAATCAGGAAGAAATCGTGCTCGCAGCAACTCAGGTTTATTGCTCACGCTGAAATTTAAAAATAATAATATGAATAAGTTTCACATATATATATATTAGCATTATTATCAATGCTGTTAACATTTATTAACCTGATTCTTTCTGGCTTAATGACCAACTTGTAACTGCAATCTTCTTCTTGTTTTCTACAGGAAAAAGGTGTGTCTTTGTAAGAATGATTTAGTTTATCAGAAAATTTGTGGTTGAGGTAAAACTTACCCATTGCGCTGTGTCGATACATTCGAACGCAATCTATCCTCATCTATCAACCTATAATTTATACTCATCAAAAATTTGTCATTTAGAATATGACTTACTTCTCATGGATTTTCTCGTATAACAGCTAATTTTTACTCACCCCTCAAGGAAATGTGAAATGTTATTCCTCCTCCTCATCTCTTCTGAGGTATTGAAATTGTATGAAGACATTGTGGTGGTTGTGGTGTTGTTGCACGGTTAGTACGAACAGGAATGTTGTAGCAAGTGCGGTAAAGTTGGCAGGACACTTTCATATGCTGTAGCCACGCCTCCCACCCTACTCTGTCGACCAGTAACATGCCGTCAACCCCCTCCCCCTTATGGCTTTTACTACAACATTTTTCTTACAGTCTTAGGTTTATTTAATATTAAAAATATTATTTCCAATTTGATTTACTTGTGATTTCTGCATAATTTTTTGTAAGCTCATTAAGATAATGAATGTTTAGAACTATCCTAACATTTTATTGTCTATAAGTAATAATAGAAATATATATTTATCACATAAGCGTTTATTAGTTTTTATTAAAAAATGTACTAATTTTAACTAAACATGACAGAATTCGTAAAAATCAGTTTAAAATGATCCTCACTATTTTACTCAGCTAAGATTCGAAAACCCACTAGTGATTAAATGCAGACGGAGAAAAATTTAAAAAATTAAATTATAGTTACCGACAAAACTGCTAAATAAATAGAATTTACATCAATATTTCTCGACTTTCCTTGTATAAATTTTTTCTATCATTTCCATTTATATAAATGTTGGTACGATACTTTATTCGAATTATTTTTTCAATATTTCAAAATTACGTTTTATGCTTCAATTATTATCCAAGTCGTTTTTATTTTCTAATTTTAGAGAACCTGGAGTACATAACGCTTGTAACTAATTAAAAGTGGATGGCACAATTTTTTTTATTTTCAAAAATTTTAAAGTGTATTGAAACCAGAAATACTCAACACTAATTAGCGTTTTACTTTGTAAATACGAGTGCCGAGTACAGCATCACAATCATAATATAATAATAACAATAATTATGATTACATGAATTCCATTGTATGTGTACCACTTGATTGAATTCATATAAGAGAATTCATATGAATGCTACCCCACATAAAAATTGTGCTTGGTCAGGTCAGCGAGTATCTGGTTCCAATTTTTGGAGGAAACAGCGTTGTTTTATTTTATATAGTAACTGTACTTTTGTGTCCTAATGTGTTTTAAGAGTGGACATAATATTACGTGAACATGAAAATGTGACTGGGCCGATGGTGGAATATCGACTCCTTCATTGACCTCATTAATTACAGAACAGATTCATGCAAACTCAGCCGTAGCTACGCCAACATCATAAATCAAACAAACTATTAAACCTTAATTTTATAAAATTCACTAATTTCGTGGTCTGCTTGACCAATCAATATATTACAATTAATTAAGGAAAAATGGCAAATAGGAGGGAAAATTCAAAAGGTGCGGTTGAGATGGGAAGTTGTGTCCGAGTGGATCGAGGTCACGTTAGCTCAAGTGGTAGAGCAGCGGCGTATCTAGCCGAAGATCGTGGGTTCGAATCCCGCTCGTGCCATTGACTTTTTATCTCAACTAAAAACCTTAATTAATCTTAATTTTATATTTCCCTTTCCTTCGTTTTCGTCCTTAATAATTATTAAATGCCGAATTACAAATCCAATCCAGAAAATCCATATTTTTGACTTCCTTTGGGTTAAATAAAACCGTCTATGATCAAAGAAAATTTCCCAGATTTACCGCGTCCCCCATCGTGTCATAATCATATAAAAACAGCAGAATACTAATTCACGTTTCACAACACTTTCAGACAAAACCAATATGACACCACCAAAATAGCTCCGCACTTCATGTGTGTATGAAATACTTGGTTCAAAATTTATATTTACACCTTAAATAGTATTTTTTCCAATCAACATTTGATTTTTAATTTACCCAGGACCTGAAAATGATCCGAATAAACGAAATGTCGGCAAAATAATGAAAAAAGTGTTTTTCTAAACTACCTTATTCTTGACCGCTCCTCAAGACTAGTTATTATTAATATGTGTAGAGGGCGATGGAGGAATATCGGATACATCACCACCATAACTGTGTGAATGGTATGTAAATAGGAAATAAGTATTTAAGTGTGAGTGCGTGTGAATGGGAGTGACAATGATTGGGGTAATAACCTAGCTGTTGGAACCTAACCTTGGTGGCTGAACGGTTATGTCAGAAATTAAAATGAAAAAGTGAAATAATTAATGGAAAATCTTAAATTAAAATGAAAACTTCAAAATCCGTTTATCCGACCGATAATCGATATTTATTTAGAAATCGTGAGATGCCGTCTGGTGTGATGTAGGCTTTAGAAAAACATTTTCTTTATTGTGCCAACGTTCCGATCTTTATTGAGGTCATCATCAGGGCTCAAAGCGTTTGTATTCTGTGTAATTGTGCCATTCTTGCGTGTCGTGTCGTGACGAGAGTGCCAGATGATCTCAATAAAGATCGAAACGTTGGCACGATAAAGAAAATGTTTTTCTAAAACCTACATCACACCAGACGGCATCTCACGATTTCTAAATAAATATCGATTAACGGTCTCTAATCGATAAATGTGTGGTGATTAGAGACCGTTAATCGATATTTATTTAGAAATCGTGAGATGCCGTCTGGTGTGATGTAGGTTTTAGAAAAACATTTTCTTTATTGTGCCAACGTTTCGATCTTTATTGAGGTCATCTTCAGGGCTCAAAGTGTTTGTATTCTGTGTAATTGTGCCATTCTTGCGTGTAGTGTCGTGTCGAGAGTGCCAGATGATCTCAATAAAGATCGAAACGTTGGCACGATAAAGAAAATGTTTTTCTAAAACCTACATCACACCAGACGGCATTTCACGATTTCTAAATAAAAATCGATAAAGTTGAATAATAAATAGAAAAGTTTAAATTAAAATGGATAAAAATTGAATAATAAATAGACAAGGTGCACGTAAAATGAAAAATTTGAGTAATGAATGGAAAAGTGGAAATTCAAATGGAAAAATTATAATATTAAATGGAAAATTCAAAATGAATTTGAAAACAAGTTTAATATTAGTTGGTAAGTTTAGATTAAATTATAAAAAGTTGAATATAAAATTAAACAAAAAAAAGTTTAAATTAAGAAGAAAAATTGAAATATTTAAAGAAAAAAATTTCCATTTCAAAAAAAAATTTTGCATTTAATATTTAATTTCCCATTTTAATTTAAACCATATTTGCTTAGTGGTCATAATTGACCACATTAATTACTCCAATTAATAACTCTTTTTATGTAAGTTTTTTGGATGAGATGAAAAATTAGTGTCACGAGCGGGATTTGAACCCTCGACCTTCGGCTCAATAAGCTGCTGCTCTAATCATTGTAACTGTTCACAGAACTGCAGATTAACTGAACAGCGTGGACTGGAACTGGTAACGTGAGATGGAGCGTCTTTGCAGGGCACAAAGCACATATGTTTTGGTTGGCACATTTCATTTTTCCCTTGAAGGAGAACTTCATTCATTTATCCTTCTGTAGAGCAATTGTAGGAAGACACAACAATAAGAACTAATAAAACATAATTCAGGATTTTTTTCACCTACAACGATTTGGCTAAGTAGCCTTCAAATATTTGAACGTATTAAATTCGTATATATATATATATAAATATATAAAACGATGGAGTTAGTGATTTTAACGAGCGGCAAAGCAGTGAATAGTGGGAGGTTCGTTGTGGCGGTCATGGCTTCTTCCCATGGTGGGGAGATGTGCGCATGGTCATGAGTCAATGGGAGGCCAGTTGTAGCAGAAATATAGAATTAATAAATAAGGGTATAGGTTATATTGGGAACACGTGGCACTTATTTTGGGACAAAGTCCGCGTATGTGTCACGCATGTAGAGTAAGGTTGTTTGATGTGTTCCACCTACTAGAAGGGAATGCCATCCGATATGAGAATCAGTGGGTATTAGGGTCTACTGTTCCGTTTTTTGGAGAAAACAGCGTTATTTTATTGTACAAAGCTGGCTTCCCAAACTTTGGTCCGCGGACCCTTTGGGTATGCACGGCGAATTTCGAGAAAAAATTAATAATTACAGAAATAAACGTAGAATGAATAAATACATTTAAAATAACTAATAACAATAAGTACTAAAAATGAAAGTTTTTTATTTTTATTTATTTATTTTGTTTTGCACACATAAGCATAAACAAAACAGAGACGTCTGGGACAAGACTGGTTCTGTTGATCAATTTACTAATCACTAAGGTCCTTCATTACCAGGAACTGCGGCATCTGGAACGCCCTGGATTTTTCCTATGTATTTAAAAAACCCATTGTTTATCGAAAATGTGATTCAAGCTCAAATTTCTCTCGCGAGGGCACTGCTTACTTGTGTTATTCTCAATGATTTACATATTTAATATGTATTGGTAATATTTACACTAATATGGATTGGTGCCTGAAGTCAGGATCTGTGAGGAAGCAGGCAGTTTCTTCATCACACACAACCAGGCAGCCGAATTGATGAATTTGTTGGACGATTTTATTACAACTAACGATATTCCAGGATCCAATTTCATTGACCTGCGCACAGATGGTGAAAAAGCAACGACTGGCAGAACCATCAGAGTGATAACTAAAATAAAATCTTATTTTATATATTACCAACTCCACGGTTCATATCTTCTCTAATGATAGGTTGAAAAATTCCAAGTTCTCTGTGGTTGAAAACTTTTATTCAATTTAGTAAATTACATGGCGTTTCGGGCTCCTGGCTCATCATCGACTAAACATAGAGAAATCTCATGGCATAATTCACAATCTGAAGGCACACTCATCAGTAATTTCCATTTTTTTTAATAAAATATTTATATTGTCTGTCTAATGTCGACAAAATTGTTTTAAAGCATATATTTCATTACCATGTGGTATACCAATGAGGTGACTAAAATAAAAATATATATTTCTATTACAGTTTTAAAACAATTTTGACGACATTCCCCTCAACAAATAAAGGGGGTGGAAAAATAATATATATATTTATCATTGGCATAGTCTAGGTATAAATACTTTTATTTAAAAAATTGGAAATTACTGATAGGTGTGCCTTCAGTTTGTGAATTGTACCATGAGATTTCTCTATGTTTAGTTGCTGGTGATGGGCCAGGAGCCCGAACGTCCATGTAATTTACTAAATTGAATAAATGTTTTCAACCACGGAAATCTTGGAATTTTTTCAACC